GCAGGTGAATTGTAAGCACAGCTTTTCCCTGAATGCATATTGTGAAGTACTACTACAACTGCTTGATAGGCCCGAGGCTGTCTACGTGCAGTGAATTTATAATTCTGTTTTTACAATGCTGAACTCATAAATGTGCTCATCCTGCTGTTGAAAATGTTGCTGTTGAAAAAAGTTGGTAAAACTGAATACAATTAGCAGTAACAAGTACGAGCTGCTGCTGATCTATGGTTGAAGTGTCTCCAACATGAACAACCCTAACCTTGACATAGTGGTAGGTTTTATTAGGAACATACACAGTTATAATGGGAAGACAACCGAGTGACCAACTAGCATGGTGATGAGGTGGAAAATGTTTTTGATTTTATCCAGTGGTTTCCATAGTGAGGGTCAACTAAGCAAGACGGGTTGCAGTTAAATTCCAGTTTCCTTATTTGTGTCACAGTGTAATTTGTAATTCAATTTGCTTTATTCAATGGGAATTATGGGAATTAAATTGATTTTGGCTTGTTTTAAAATTCATTGGACTTTGAAGCTGAGCGAAAGTTTGGGAACTGTCGATTTAATCAACTTATTGTTAAGCTGTCAAGCTTTATTGTCGTTACACAGTGCACTTAGACGAGAAGGACTGTGACCAATAAATTAAGCACACAGTAAATAAACAAAACTGGGAAATGCCACGCAGTGTACAACAAGACGGAAATGTCCAAAATTAAAATGTCTTTTTTTTTTTTTCAAAGTAGTTCTTACCTGAGTTCCTAACAAAACAGAAAATTCCGTTCAAATTAAACGTCCAAAATGACATCATCATCATACATTGTAATGATAACTCATCTGAACAGAACAAAAATATTCTAAAATAGCCAATATTCTTCTAAAACTTGAGTTTAAATACATAATGTCTGTAAACAAAAGTTAGTAACTTATGCAAGATAAATAAAAAGTTATATCTAAAAAGAAAACTTTAGGTAAAATTTAAATTGTGTTGTGGAAGACTTAAATACAAATGTTGTTCATGTTAATCCAACCAAAAAGATCTGTCCTTAATCTCAGGTTTAAATGAAATGTTTCATTTATTTGAATTCATACATATTGTCTATAAGGCATTTTACTTCAGAAGGCGCCTTCTATCATTAAATTTTATAGAAAAGATTCTTAAAGCTTTTCAACTTGGGAAAAAGAACTGTTCTACAAAACCTGGACAATTTGCATGAATAATTTATTTTGCAAAAAAAGACAGAACAAGAAGAGAGGCTGAGTGGACAAAGGATTTATTCATTCATTCTGTTTCGTTATATCAAATATTTGTGCTCTCCCGCACACTATTTTCTGGATGCTGTGACAGGTTAACTGCCTTCCAAATTTAACAGACAAGAAAAAAAAAAATCAATGAATAAATAAATCTTCAAATGAAAATATGGTTTTCAAATCAACTAGCTTGGCCAAAATCACATTTTCCTCCACAGCTCTTACTCGTTAATCTTCAGGGAGACAGTGATGAGATACGCAGATATGAAAAGATTACGTTAAAAGAAAAGTGAGGGTTTAACAATAAAAAAGATTAACTGTGATAATTGTGATGAGGTTGATAACAGTTGATCGTGATTATCGAAATGAATCAATCTAACTTAGACAGTATGTAGCAATAGTAGGTTTTACGTATGCTATTACGTTCTGTAATGATGGTGACATTTACGTTTAAATCTTTGAATGTAATTATTTATAATAAATTTTAACCCCTTTTACTTTTAACAAATTGCACTTTTTCTTGAGGCATCACTTACAAACCCAACTCTGTACTGAAACAAAAAAATGTTCCAGTCAATTTTCTGTCAGTAAATGGGCTGCTTCCAAATAGTTCCTACAATCATCATGCAGAAGCTCAGCTTCCATGGCCACCCACTGTTCCATTGACTACCAGGGAAGATCAGTTCCTGAGTTCCAATCAGCACGTAGAACCGGGGTAAAAAGAACAATTTTGAAGTGCTGCCACATTGGAGTTCATTGATATTGAGCTGTTACAGTACAGGGTTTGATTTTCTCCGCCGCTACTGAAGGTACCATAAGGAAATAACATCAGATGATCTGTGATAAACTGATGATTCTAAATGACTTTCTCTAGTGTATTTTAGAAACTTAAATGTAAATAAAACAATAATTTACTAATTTATTTTATTTTATTTAAACCTTTATTTTTCCAGGTAGTTCTTTGAAATTTAATCTCTTTTGTTAGCGAGATCTGGACTTTTTTTTTTTTTTTCTATTTTATCAGCTTCCTTTGCTGCAACAATGCAAATGTTACTGGAATGTAGAGTAAACAATGGTGCAAGAAAGAAATGAAGAAAGAAGGATGTTCCTTTGGTGTCCATCTAGAGAGGGCACGAGCGGAACAAATCACAAGGGCAGACTGTAACAGCACAGATTATTCCACCAGTGTGAAGTGGAGAAAATTCGTTTTTGGACGGTGTTCATCATGTCTGAGGAGCCAAATGTGATTGCTTATTCCCAGTGGGTTTCGCAGAGGATGAAATCGATCACATGTGAGGCCTCAGATTTAGAAGTGAAACTGTTGCACAGTGAAGCAGAAACACAACTTCAAGGGATTTCATTTATTGTGCTATCAAGGATAAGTCTGATGAGTTTTTGGCAGGAACAATGAAAAACAAGTCTGAAAGTTGATTAGCCAGTGAGGTGACTAACAAAGTCACGTTACGCTTTGGGGTGGAGGCATGCGTTGGACTTATGTTTTAGCTCCTTCTTTGGTTCCCTTTGGAACTAGTCAGAAATGTTTCAGACTGAACACAGACTTTAACAATAAACCTTGAGTTTTTCCAACAGCTACGTCTATACTACAGTGTGAACTTTCACCTGGTTTCTGTGCATCTTGTAGAGACGTTCGATGGACCTTTGCTGATTATGACTAGATGTTCATGTTTTGTTTTTTTTATTTTGGTATACTAAAAGAACTGTTTGATTGCCAAGCAAGTGAACGTATATATTTCTAGACGACTTAAATCCATACATATCATCCATGTATAGTGTGTAGTTAATACGTGTAGGTGCATGGGTGTATTTTATTTAACGTTTTATTTAAGACCCAGGAAAGACAAATAAAACACTGTGCACAGACAAACAAACTAAATAAATAAATAAATAAATAAACACTCAAGCAGAGAACAATTACACGTCAAGCATCCTTAGAAAGGGTAATGACATCTTTCAGAATCTGGCTCCACTCTTCTATTCAGAGCTAAAAAGAGAATTGCACACATTGAACATGGAGTACTTCTGCAGCTAATTCTATGCCACAGGTGCAGAGTATAATAAGCTCTCACTTGACTTTGTGTATGAAACTGACAAAGCCTGGTGTTATAAATATAACTGTATCCTATGGCCCCTCAGCTCTTTGTGTGATTTCATCGCTCTCCAGGTAGTGAACACTTCTTACTCAAGCCCGCAATTTTATGTAAAATATTCACAGACAAAAACAATGTGTTGTCTCATTCACAAGCAACAGACTCTGAAGAGCAGTTCGCTTCAGTTGAATAGGTTATCAGTGCGACAGTTAGTCATTGTGACACAAACTGAATTTGATGTAATAACTCTTTCATACAGCCTCTGTTTAACGCGTTTGAGCTACCACAGCTTATCAGTGTGTCAATGGATACAGTTCTATTTCCCCTGTAGAGTTTAGGAGCGTGTGTGTATCTGTAGCAATTCAATAATTCCAATATTATCGGCTTTGAACAGACAGACGTTATCACCATGTCAAGACGCTGACACTCTGTGGATCAATTTTGTTGTGCAATCAGCTAACCTAAAAAAGCATAAGAACTTTCCTAATTATCAATGCTCCACCCCTTTAGTATTTTTAAAGTTACAGTTTCAGAATTTTCATAATAAAATACCTTTAAATTTGGTGTATTTATTGGTTTGGTATCAAGAACTGGGTAAGGCTTAAGATGACTGTACACAAGCCAAATCTGATCATGTTGTGCTACTAGAAACTTTTCTTTTTACACAGAGGTGAAGAAACTAAACTTTTATGACAAGTGAACTTTATGCCTCTTCATTAGTCTGGTTTTGTTTTTAGAATTATGGCTCTGAATCTGACATTTAGGACTGAAAATAGATGTGTGAATGTGAGTGAATCATCATGACAAACTGCATTACCTGTATGACTTAGCCAACAGCACAACTGTTTCATGAACAATATGAGCTGTGCTTTAAAACTGTGTGAAAATACATTGCTTTAATCAGATTACCTTAGATATCTTCTTCTTTTCCACAGTTCAAATCCTTTACAGCCACTCAGTCTTTCTTTATTTTCCAAAACATATAAATCACTTGCTTACCTTTCAGCTTGTGATGTCTTTCATCTATTTTATTTCTCTTCAGCCTTCAGGGGCGAGGTTTCAGGTCTAAGTCAAAAAAATGACAAGTCAAGAGCGTCAGGCCTACAGCATGAGGAGCGGAAAAGATTTATATGTAATGAAAACTCCTGGAAATGTGCCCTGCATGGGATCAGCTGTGTAAGATGAAATTCTTTCTTAAAATATCAAGTACTTGCTAATAGTTTTTTTTTATTTACAAAAGAAAATCTTACTTTAAAGAGTCAAAACTTTGTTTATAGTATATACCGGAGTGGGCCCCTTTTTCTGCCGGGAGTTTCATGCCCAAACCAGGCCGACTTTGCTATGGAGTATATATATTGGATATATGATATGTCGATAATGAAATACAATAAAATCTTGTTTAAAGCTGAATTTAAAAGTGGAACACGGTCAATTTTACACTTGACGCAGTAGGTGGCAGTGATGTTCCTTAATGCAGACTTCTACGTTGGCTTCAGCGGAAAAGAAGAAATCAACACACAAGAAAACAAACAAAACACGCCACTACAAACATGAACAGACGCCAGGATAGTTTGCAACTGTGATTCATGGGGAAGTCACGGGTGAGTTTTAACGGGGGACGATAGTGGGAGTCCGCAACGCCGGCTGTAGCCTCTCACAAACTGTGCAGATCTTGGGATTTTCCAAAACCGCCGTCTCTCGGGTTTACCGTGAATGGTAGGGAAGTCATAAGACGTAACAAGGACTACAGTCACTTGGGTCGAGGTCCAAATTCTCGGTGCTTTATGAATAACATTTGCAAGGACGACACCGAAAAGGTACGTCTGTGCACGGTGTGTGCAGGGACAACATTTAAGGTCTACATCAAATTTTCATGGGTTTTCATTGTAGTCTTTGTTATTTATCTTGTGATCCGCTTATCCATTTTCTTGAAATAACCAAATAAAATAAAGTTGTGATTCACACTGATATTTCAATTTGATTTGGTTAATTCCAGAGTTAACCGAGTGTGGAGAAGTTGGATCCTAGCTAAAGGGACCTGAGCTGATCAGAAGGATTGCGTTTCTCCTTCCCCCTCTCTGGCAGATGTGGACCTGGTCAAGCAGAACACCTGTACAGGACAGCTAAGGTGAAAAGCAAAAGCCCTTTTTTGAATAGCATAATTTAAAAGGCAGGTTTGCACTTCTCAGGTATATTTATGTTTCTTATTCATGTACTATATTTAGACTTACTGTATGTTAGAACCAATAGACCTAAGATTATTTGAAATTTAACATGACTGAATGATTCTAAAGAAATATATACTTTTTTTGGTACGTCAACTTTTGATCACAGTAAAATACGATACCAATAAGTTCCTGAACAAATCTCCAAAAATAAAAGTTTCTCAAAAATGACTAAAAATGCACTAATTTGTCCAAAAATACTTAGATAAGCCAATTTTTGTTGTTAAAATTCAGAAAAAAATATACTTTTTTGGTACGTCAACTTTTGATCACAGTAAAATACTATACCAATATGTTCCTGAACAAATCTCAGAAAATACGTTTTTCAAAAATGAATAAAAATACACTAATTTGCCTTAAAATACTTAGCTATGTCCAATTTTTGTTTGATGTTGTTTGATATTTATGGATATTTTCACGATGGTA